TATAAGAATATTTATAGTTTTCTATTTTACATAGATTGGGATGTTTTGAAGTAGAAATCTATTGCTAGTTTTTTCATTGATTTGAAGTTTCTAAAAAATGAAGTCTTTCTGTCTGTAGCAGCTTGTTTGAAAATACTATGTTATTTTTATATTGTGTTGTAGTGTTTATTCCCTAGCTCTCTGCTTCAAGAATGAATAATTTCATAATGTCCTGCTTCGACATTTTTTTCACATGATTTTGCATTGTGATATTTATGCAACTGAAGTAGCTTTGTTAAATTTCAAGAGATTATTGCTTGTGGCCTCTATTAATAAAGTGATTATTTGGTCCTTTTCAATCGATTTGGTTTGTGCATATTGTTGTCACCTGTATTTCTTCCCTGTACTCTGCTTGTGAATCCAGAGGATTGTAGATATCTATTGTCCTGACCCTGTGTGCATGCACAGTTTGGTCGGTTGAGTTGAGCATGAATGTACTATATTTTGAAGTTATGAAAACCATCGGAATTGCAATGGAGGCAGTGGGTTGCTGTTGTTTTTAGTTCTTTGAGGGGGAGAACTCATTAATCCCTAAACTGATACCGTGTTTCTTTTTCACTGCAAAGTAGAATGTGGATAGCATGGTATTGTGTACTAGAATATATATACCTATGTCCATGATGGATGAAGTTGTTCTTTTAATGTAGACTCCCTTTGCAGGATAATTTGACTTGTCACCTTTATCGATTTGTTTTGTCTGCTTTTGGTTTTCTCTTATATGTCAACTGGGATGGATGGTGGATATTACAGTTAAGGATTGGTTAGATGTGAAATTTAGTTTCAAGTTTGAATAAATAGTGCTAAGTTATTGATCCCTGAGATGTGCCTTGAACTATCTATCGATTTGTCGGATATTTTGAACTTTGGTTTTATGAGGCAGGTTACACGTGAGCTTTCTGCTGAGGTAATTAAGGCTGTATAAGAGATTCTATAACGTTGAGGCTATATTTGAAACTTCGTCCTACAGTCATTCTTTGTTGAATGCTCAGGGAATTTCTTCGGATTGCAGCATGCTTTGGTGTCAGATGTGCTTGTTAATTGTATATCTAATTACTGATATTGCTATTGGGAAATATATTGTAGGAGTTGGTGTGTATTGGACTTGGACTATATGTGACACCAACATGGAACTCTTTAGTGTTTGTGTTCCATCAGTGTTGTTCTGGTATGGTTCTGAATCTCATTTTCTGATAATTGAACTGATTGTGGAGAAAAGTTGATGGCCTATTGTTGATGGAGATAAAAGAAAGACAGCTTCTGTATTGGATCATGATCTGTCTGATTATTTCTAGTTGTAGTATTTCAGGATTATTTATATGTGTATTTATCTGCTAGGAATTTGTTAATAGTGAATGCTTTTAGGACAAGAAAGTCGCATTTTATATCTGTGTATTTTGTCATTTGGATAAGTCCAAGTCCATAGAAGGTATTTGCTTATTCATTTTCTTCTTAAGAATACTTCAGTGCTTCCTTCATACTGTGAAGCTTATGTTTTCACCGCTTCTTTTTTTAGCATGTCTCTTAAGTTCCATTTTTGTTCTTTAACTCGGGCTATTAAATGCTTTAAAATTTTTATTTTTGGTGGTGGCCATAATTTTACCCTTATTCTGGATGATTCAGTTTTTCTTGAGAAATTATTTATAGGATTGGATATTATTTATAATCTCTTCAGTTGGATGCTATTTCTATCTCAATGACATTATACTAGCAAAATGAGTTTGAAGCATGGGGGCTTCAAGGTTGCTTCTGGCATTTCACCCCTTCTTTTTTGCCTCGTTATGTTGCTTGGTTGAACAAGTAGTGGCGTTTTCTTCTTGTGAGTAACTGATTTTTCACCCCTTATCTTGTATGGAGCATGAACAAACGTCGTGTTGTTCTACATCTATCTATCTGAAACCTTTTCTTGCAACAACTGTCTTTGTTGTTTTCTTCCCTTGCTGGTAATTGTCGTTGAAGGATTCGTGTAGGTATCTTAATAGAAAAGGGGCTTTCAGGAAGCTAGGTGTAGAACTGGCTTAAATATTAAATAGATTTATCTTTGATATATTGTATCTGCCTATGTCTATATGCCCAACTCTCACACCTGAGTAAAAGAGTTTATTGTGGTTTGATGTTTAGAATTTAAACTCACTATCTTGAACATCATGTGAAGGGGTAGCTTTATATTTTGGTGAGATGAATTTTTAGATAATTCAAATTAGACAGATCTGAAATATTAAATATTAGAATGGTATTGTTAACTTCACTGGATATTCTGTACTTTGTATATCGATGCTTGTGTTGATTCTACAGTGCATCAATTAGATGGATGTTCAAAATGTATGGTTTGACAGTGCACGAAGGGACCTGTCGCCTTTCTTGGCAATGAAAGTTTGTATTTCTTGCTTCTATGTAAAAACATTTGTAGTTTTGGAACTTCTTTTTGTACCCATTCACTTCAAATAGGGAGAGGATGGGCTTCTGCTGGAGTAAATCAATAGTACCCACCCAATCAGTACGGTATGTAGGCGCCTAAACTTGTTTCAATACAATTGTGCAATGTATCTCCTTGTTTAGTGGTACTAGCTGTGATATATGTCTGTTGTCTTGTGTTAATTCTGGACATGTTCTTCATCTAGCTATGTGTACGTATGCCTATTCTGCTATTCTTGTGTATTTTTCAACCATGTATTGGATCAGGAGTTCTTGGTTCATTTGAGATAACGACTTGGTGCAGAATCGTCTTAGGAATCCAGTTGGAGGATATCCTCAGCAAGGTTACCAAGCTCGGCCTCCGCCAAGCTGGGCCCCTCCTGGTGCACCAATGCAACAACCTAATTATGGCTACGTTCAGCCTGGAGCCTATGGTGGCCCATCACCCCATTATAACATGACTCAACCACCTTACACAGGTTATCCTCCTCAACCAACTTCTGGTGGGTATGCTACTGGGTGGGACCAGACAACTGCTCCACAAAACCAGCAGAGTACTCAGGGAGGTGGGTATGATTACTACAGTCAGCAGCCAACTGCGCAACAGCAGCAAGCCCCTGGTGGTACTGTAGCTCCCTCAGATAATACCGCCTATGGTTACAATCAGCCACCAGCTTCCGGTTACAGTCAACAAGGACAAGGTTATGCTCAGGATGGCTATGGTGGATATAATGCACCTCCCCCTCAATCTGGGTATGGTCAGCCACCAAATGCTGTTCCGGGTTATGATCAGCAGCAAGGTTATAATTCTACACCTGGTGGATATGGCAATGTCTCCAACCCAACTCCAGATGGCCACACCCCTTCGTATGGAACTCAGGGAGAAACCAACCAAACAGCTCCGCCAGCCCAGTCATCTGCAGTGGGCCAGCAAGGATACAATTCTGGTCAGCAGCCTAGCCCTAATCCTAGTTACCCGCCTCAGGGGTCTACCCAGCCAGGCTATGGAATGCCCCCAACTACCCAAAGTGGTTATGGAACTCAACCTCCTTCAGGGTATGGCCCAAGTTATGGACCACCTCAAGCTCAGAAGCCACCAGCTGGTCAGGCAGCTTATGGGCAACCCCAACAATCACCCAGTGCCCAAGGAGGTTATGTCCAGCCTTCTCCTGTGCAACCGGGGTATGCCCTTTCTCAGGCACCGCCCGCTCAATCTGGCTATGCTCAGCCAGATTCTGGTACTCAGCGAGCTCCACCGTCAGGATATGGTACTCCAACTGCTCAGCCAGGGGCATACCCCTCACCATATGGTGCACCACCGGCAACTCAGCCAAGTTATGCGCAACAGCAGCCTCCGTACAACACCTCTTATGGGGCTGGCTATGCCCAGCCTCCTGTGTATACTGCAGATGGCAATGCAAGTGGAACTGCTCGTGGGGCGTACGATGCTGCCCCAGCCTCACAACCTGGTCAGCCCAGTGGGGTTGCTAAACCCTCACCTTAGAGTGGATGATTTAGTTTGTGGGCAACAGTTGGACATTTCTCATTTTGGTGCCTATTAATGTCTGTGTATGGCTTTTAATTAGGTAAACTTTAGGTCTCTTTGGTTTGGCTTTAAAGGTTTGAACGTACCTTTTGTTGTTTGTTCCCAACATTACTTAGCAGTGAATTCTAGATGTGGGGGAGGATAATTACTTGTTGGTTTTGGTATTGGTTGATTCTGTAAGTTAATGAACTCATGGACATTAATTGGTGGTGTTTTTCTGTGTACGGGTAGGAGAGGAAGTGGTTGACGGTGGTTACCCTCGGCAACATTTACAACCATTGGTGGGTTGGCAACGGACACAACCTTTGTTAAAGATTGTGTCTCCTGTTTGAATGGTTGCATATTGGTAACCATTAGAAGTCTATAATGACAACTTTGATCATGAAAGACTTGATCTAAAAGTTCTCATAAAACTTCCGATCAAATCATCAAGTTGTCATATTTGTTCTCTTTGAGTGCACGTGATCAACTGTCTTAACAAAATTTTGCCGTTGCTTATATAACGTCTGGGACCAACAGTGGTATCAGAGGAAGGTTTTTATGACGAATATTAGTATCCCGAAAAATTGTGCAGTTCAAAATTTAAATATCTTTGATATTGGTTGAGATTAAGTCGAAGAGTATTACGCCAAGATCATTTTGGTAAAATTTTGAGTGAAAATACCCAAGGATTAAAGAGAAAAAGCACTTCATAGGATTTGGTACGTTGCCGGAATTTCTTTTCGTTGGCTAGTGGATTCATCGGAGAAGATAACTGTAGCCATTTGGATGAGGCTACATCATTTTGTTGTAAAGAAATAGAGTATACTGACTTGGTTCAAGCCCAACAATTCTTTTTTGATTTAATTGAGGCCCAAGTTTTGTCCAAGCCCAATCCAGTCAGTTGCTTGCAACCTTTTGATTTAATTCTAACCCCCCCCCCCGGTTGGACCAGCCCACCCAGTTCTTTTGGACCCTTTTCCAAACTAGTTTAATTTTGATCTGGTTCGAACCAATTTAGTACATTTTGAAAAGTCATATCTTATTCAATCGGACTTCGATTTAGTCCATTCAAAATCGATGAACTCCATTTTACGAGTGCTATCAAATTATAGTTTGAGAATTGAGTTTTTGGTAATTTTGAAGAAGTTCATTCTTTGATTCAAATCGCTCCTGTGTCAAAGAAGCCATTATTAAAACCTCAGATACCTTGTTATTGGCACCATCCTTTTGACAAGTGCGGTAATTTAACAATTTCAGATTTGGTCACTTTAGAGATAACTTCTAATCGCAAAATTAAGGATTCACGACCTCTACGGATCTCTAGAGAATTTGTAAAAGGAGATTCTGCTACACAATTCTTTAACATTTTTGGGAGTCAGATTATATTTGCCAAACCAAAAGAAAAGCATATTTCTCCGGACAATAAGAAGGCTTATCGACGTGGATATTTGAATCAATGTTACTCTAGTCGATTTCTAGAGAGAGTCAATACAACAAAGCCCAAAAAAAATGTTACAGATCCCATAATTGCTAAACAAATAAGTTGGTGGGAGGAAGATAATGATCTAGCCCAAGCCTCAATTCTATTTAGCATGCAAGATGATTTAATTTATTTTAAAACTGCTAAGGAAATTATGGATGCACTCGAGACCAAGTATGATCATGTATCTGATACGCATATACAATTGCTATTAGATAAGTTTAATGGGATGCATATGTCCGAGGGTGATAAAGTGGTGAATTATGTACTTCAAATGGAATTACTTGCAAAGGATTTATCAACTGTTGGACATCCACTTATTGATAAGATGCAAGTGACTACTATTCTTAATGGCCTATCAGATTCATGGAATTATGTGGTTACTTCTTTGACCTATGGAGAAAAAAATTTAACTATGATCACATTACCAGCATTATTGGCACTTGAGGAGAAATGAAAGAATAGAAAGAGAAAAGATACTGATAGTGGAAAATTGTTGATCGTTGAGGCATCTGGATCAAAACTAGAAGTGCAACACAAGAAACAAAGGAAGTGGAAGAAAAATTGAAAGCAACGGTTCAAATTTAGAAAGTTCAACAACAAAAGCAAAGGGGCGTGTTTTGCTTGTGAACAAAAAGGACATTTCAAAGCAAAGTGTCCGAACAAGCAAAAAGGAAAACAAAAGGAGGCAGTTATGACTATTTTTGAAGCGATGCTACTTGAAGATTCAAAAGAACAATGGTGGATCGACTCTGTTGCAACTAGACACATTGCAAGGGACAAAGGGAGCTTCTCAAAAATCAATGAAAAGGCACCAGGTGAGCATCGTATTTACATGAAAAATAATACATATTGTGATGTCCTAGGAGAAGGAACTTGCAAAGTGGAGTGTAAGTTGTCAGTCTTGATTCTTAAGAATGTGTTGTATGCACCCAATGTTAGAAGGAACCTTATATCGGTGTCTGTATTAGATAAAAGAGGTTATGATGTAAGGTTCAAGTCAGGATTTGTTTGTATCCAAAAGGATGATGATGTCATTGTAAAGGGTTCAAGGGTTGAAGATATGCATCTTATCCACAGTAATAAAATTTCTTATTCTAAGTACATGAATGTTTCAACTAGTGAAAATAATTCCTATCTATGACATTTAAGATTAGGTCACATCAATAAGGACAAGATGCTAAGAATGAGTAGATTGGGCCTCATACCTCAAATGAATACAATAGACTTTGATATTTGTGAGTCATGCGTTAAAGACAAAATGACTAGAAAATCTTTTAACAAACATTGGAAGTCTTTGGATTTATTGGAGGTTGTCCATTTGGACATATGTGGACCTTTAAGATCAAAAACTCATAAAGGAATGAATGAAATATTTTGTAACTTTTACAGATGATTATTCAAGGTTTGGTCATATCTACTTAATCAAACATAAGTCTGATGCACTTGATAGATTCAAAGAATATAAAAATGAGGTAGAAACACAGTTGGGTATACCAATTAAAGCCTTGAATAATGATAGGGGTGGTGAATATGAAACTTTTGACAAATTCTGTAAAGAGAATGACATACGACATTTATATACCATGTCATACACACCTGAACAAAATGACATTGCTGAAAGACGTAATAGAACTCTATTGGATATGACAAGGTCAATGATGGCTTATGTTGATCTTTCCGTCCATTTTTGGGGAGAAGCCTTGTCTACTGCAACTTATATTTTAAATAGAGTCAAGACAAAGGCTAAACCTCAAACTCCTTATGAATATTGGACTGGAACAAAACCTGACATATCTAATTTTAAAGTTTGGGGGTGTAAGACACATGTACTTATTCTGAAGCCTCTCAAAAATAAGCTAGGAACAAAGATGTGAGAATGCAAGTTCATAGGATATGTTGAGAATGGAAGTGGATATAGATTTTTACATTCGGATAAAGGATTGATTGAAAGTAGGGATGTCATTTTTATTGAGTCTACCAATGAAATAACTCTCATTGATCAAGTCAAATTGTTAGATGATGATGTTATGAGTCCTATTGATTATATTATTGATCAAGAAATGATAGATGACCAAGGTGATTAGGAAATGGTAGATGACCAAGGAGGACAAGGTTCACAAGTTGAGAAAAGTGGGAGTAAAAGAAAGAGGGTACCATCTCAAAAATTAAAGGATCATTTCGTTTTTAATCTAGATGAAAAAATAATATTAGAAGATGATCCTAAGGAGTTTATGGAGGCAGTCAATAGTAGTGATGCAGATCAACGGCTTCAAGCTATGAAAGAAGAGTTTGATTCAATTAACAAAAATGATGTGTGAGATTTAGTAGATCGTCCCAAAGAGAGGAAAGCCATTGGTTGCAAATGGGTCCTTAAAAAGAAATTGAAAGTAGATGGGTCTCTAGATAAGTATAAAGCAAGGTTGGTTGCTAAAGGATTTACTCAACAACCTGAAATAGACTTTGTGGATACATATTCTCCAGTTGCTAAGTTTACTTCAATCAGAATACTCATGTCAGTTGTAGCTAAGATGGATCTTGAATTACATTAGTTAGATATGAAAACGGCCTTTCATAATGGAGAATTAAAAGAAGACATCTATATGGTTCAACCTAATGGGTTTCAGGTTAAAGGACATGAACAAAAAGTCTGTAAATTGAAAAGGTCTTTGTATGGACTCAAAAAATCCTCTAGACAGTGGTATTTAAAATTCCACCAGGCAATCTTTTAAATAGGATTTGAAGTTAGTGCTTTAGACCATTGTGTATATATTTGGACACACCATGATAAACTCACAATTTTGTCACTCTATGTAGATTATATTTTATTGGCAGGAAATTGTCCAAATATGATCAAAGAAATCAAAGCGTACTTGGGATCTAAATTCAAAATGAAGGACATGGGTGAGGCTAATTATGTCTTGGGAATTAGAATCTCTAGAAATAGAAATTCTAGACTCTTATATTTAGATCAAGAAAAGTATTTGGAAATGGTGCCAAGAGATTCGGTATGAATAATAGTAAGTCGTTGAGCACTCCTGTCTGCAAGGGTCAAAGTCTAAGTAAAGGGATGTGCCCTAGTTCATATAAGAAAATATTTGAAATGAGTAAGATACCCTACACACAAGTTGTGGGTAGTCTCATGTATACTATGTCAAGTACAAGGCCTGACATTTGTCATGCGATAGGATTAGTAAGTAGATATCAATCCAATCCAGGAACGGTACACTAGCAAGCAGTGAAGAGAATTTTTAGATATTTGAGAGGCACGACAGGTATGAAATTGTGTTTTGGATTAAATAATGTAGAAATTATTGGCTATACGGATGCAGACTTTGCAGGTGATGTAGATGACATAAAATCTACAAGTGGTCATATATTCTTATTTGGTGGAACGACTGTTTCTTGGCTAAGTATGAAGCAGGGTTGTGTTGCAAAGTACACAATGGAAGCCGAATACATAGCGTGCAGTATAGCGGTAAGTAACGCTGTTTGGATTAAACGCTTTGTTGATAGTTTAAAGTTGGGTATACCTAGTAGGCCAGTCAATGTGTTTTGTGACAATAAGTTTGCTATCTCTTTAATAAAAAGTGGAGCTAATAGCTCTAAAGGAAGACACATTGATGTAAATTATCACTATATTCAAGATATAGTGAAGAGGGGTGAAATAAAAATCGACTATATACCCTCGGCAGATATGGTGGCTAACCCTATGACCAAGGGCTTGACCCTGGAAAAATTTAGAGAGCATGTAACTGCAATGGGTTTAAGAAGCACTTAGGTATTACAGTACTACGTAGTGAAGGACATCTTTAGATAAATTTTGGGAACGCCTAAAATTTATAGAAAGATGCGACTCTACCTGATTGGGGATATGAGTTGGTCAGATAAAAGGTAGAGGACACTAGCAGGCATTCCAGGGCTATCACATGCTCATGAATGTAAAGTCCACTTTGAGACACCATGAGATCTCTGCATAGCCACCTAAGGTGCATGGTGTATTAAGTCATCGATAAGGTATATTGAGGAAAGCCTTTGCATGGGCTTTAGAGACAATACTTGATCAAAATTTCGGGTGCAGGTCGACACATTGATTAAATTTATGTTTGGCTGAAGTCGTCAATGGTACTGAGGGTGTGGACTTTATGATCCCTAGTATGGAGCATTGATGCCAATCACTTAGTTATAGAGTGAATTGAAGTCAAATGGAGTATGCTATAAACAAGGATAACATATGTGGAAAAGTGTAGTCAGACTCGAAGGCAAAAGCGTGCACACGTAAGTCTATTGCCATGTTCTAATGTCAATCTGTAAATGGTTACGGATAAAAAGTTGGTGAAAATAAAAATTTTGGTACCAAAGGTAAACACCAACTTGGAAAAATCTTGAATCATGTCCATGTACGTTCCAGTGGGAGCTGTAAGTCAAGGAACTCATGGACATTAACCGGTGGTGTTTTTCTGTGTACGGGTAGGGGAGGAAGTGGTTGACAGCGGTTACACTTGGCAACGGCTACAACCGTTGGTGGGTCGGCAACGGACACAACCTTTGTTAAAGGTTGTGTCTCCTGTTTGAATGGTTGCAAATTGGTCACCATTAGAAGACTATACATCATGAAAGACTTCATCTAAAAATTCTCATAAAACTTCCGATCAAATCATCAAGTCGTCATATTTGTTTTCTCTCCGAGTACATGTGATCAATAGTCTAACGACATTTTGTCACCACTTGTATAACGTTGTAACACTCCACCCTCCACATGACATAATATTGTCCGCTTTGGGCCCATTGACCCTCACAGTTTTGTTCCTTCTAGTACCCCTAGGAAAATGCCTTATGCCATGTAAGGCAAAGGGCTTACTAATAAGCCCAACAATTTTCCCCTCCCTAACCGATGTGGGACACCAAGATCTCACAATTCACCCCCTTTAGGACTGCACATCCCCGTGCAGTAGCTCGCTCACATGCACGCGAGCACGGTAGGGGCCCACACTCAATCCAGGCGAGGGTCGGCTCTGATACCACTTGTAACATCCCACCCTCCACATGACATAATATTGTCCGCTTCCCAATATCCCTGAAAAAATGTCTTATGCCAACAATTTTTCCCTCCCTAACCGATGTGGGAATATCCCTAGGAAAATGCCTTATGCCATGTAAGGCGAGGGGCTTACTAATAAGTCCAACAACTTTCCCCTCCCTAACCGATGTGGGACACCAAAATCTCACAAACGTCTAGGACCAACAAATTCCCAACACCTTCACCCTATGGCCATAGGCCCCCCCTTTTCTTTTCCCCCCTCCCCCCCCCCCTTACCGTATTCCCATCACTTGATTTGCAATATTCCTTATATAATCTTACACTATGGACGGGATTAGGTCTCCTCTTTATTTCAACTTCTTTTGCCCCTAATGGTAGTGGGTGAAGAGTGTAGAACTGTGGTTGTGCCCACCTGTTTGGTGAGGGCGACACTCCAACTCTACAAACTCGAGGAAGGGTTACACAACAATAGTAAAAACGTTAAGAAGAGATTTTTGTAGTCCTATCAAAAATTAAGGGAATAAATCTCATCTCCTAATAAGCAAAGCCCTTATGAGCAAAAAAATTTGGGTCTTGTTTGGTTTGTATATTAAAAATTGTTTTTTATTTTCGAATATATTTTGAGAAAAAAAACTGTTTGGCTAGTTGTTTTTTGTTTTTGTTTTTATTTTTTGAAATCTGAGAACAAAAATAGGATAAATTTAGAGAACAAGTTAGAACTATTTTATGTGTTTTGGAAACAATTTTTTTAGAATTTAGAAAACACTACTACCATACTTTTACCATTAATACACTCCCATTATTATCACATTTCTATTTTTGCTATTTTTTAAGTTATTGTCCAAAAAAATTTTATTGTTTTTAATTTTATATATCTATTTTTGAAATCATATAACCAAACAAATTTTACGGTACAAAAAATAATTTTCTAAAATTTTTTAATTTTTTTTTTTAAAAGGTAAATCAAACAAAATCTTGTTATTCCATTTTCAAATCTTTAGATCGATAAGACCACGGTAGAGTCCCTTGGGCTATTCAGTTTTTTTGGTATGGGCCAAGCCCATGGTGCAGATTCTTAAAGAGTAAACTGTATGTATCATTGTAGAAAGATCCAAACCCCAACAGATTTACAGAGTTACTAGTCAGCACAAAACCCCCCCAAACCCTCTCTCTCTCTCTCTCTCTCTCTCTCTCTCTCTCTTCAGGCGAATATATTACTACAATAGGAAAGCATTACCATTAGGTATTCCGATCCATCCTTTTTTGGTTTGAATATCTGTGTAATTTTATGTATGCATGGTGTGTGTGGGAGCTTCGAGTCAGATATTGCTATGTGGTGTGGTATAGGGGTGAACGTGAAGTGCTGCTGATCTTATTTATCATGTTTCTTTCTGTAATGGAGGTCGTCGTTCATATTTCGCTTGTGTTGATGCATTTCATTTGGTTTAAATTTCTCTATGGTTTGTGAACTGTATATGCTATGTTTTTTATATGTCGAGCGTTACTTAAGGAACCTTGATCATTGTATTTGCCATCGTCAGGCGAGGAAACTTTTAGTTTTTGTGTGGGTATAACATTAAACATCGTGATATTGTTGCATTTTCATTGAAATTTGAAGAGGCTTTGTAATTTTCAAGCTGCATTGAGAGTGGAAACAAAAAAATACGTACTTCAAGATATGAACTATTTTTTTTCCAATTCTGATGAAAAAACGCCGATGTTTTGAAATCTATATAATACTGCTCAATCAAAACTTATATTGAAGGGAACCCCCTGATTTTCTTATTTGTTGGAATTATTCTTGTATTCTGAATGTTTAAATGTACAATTGATGATTAGGTGTTTAGGTATGTTGTTATATTGTGCTTTACATATTTTTTTTCCTCATGCCTTTTTGTGGCGCTGGGATTTGAGAATTTGTTAAATTAGTGCGCCAATATATCTCCATGTGTGAATCTGTTCGAGTAAATATATGTTTATGCTATTTATAGGGGTGAATAATGAGGGATAGAAAGTTTTGCTAGTGCTGCATATACAGTTGAAAGCATAGCTTGAAGGCACTTTATTTAGATGGTTGTTTTTGTGAGGTAATCTGTAGGTTTTGGAATTTATGGCATCAAAGCTGAATCTCTTGCGAGCAAAGGCTGCTGAAGCCTCGAAGTTTGTAGCCAAGCATGGATCTGCCTATTACAAGCAGTCATTGGAGCAGAACAAGCAATACATCCAGGAACCGCCTACTGTGGAGAAATGCCAGCTTTTGGGGAACCAGCTGTTTTACACTCGTCTTGCCAGGTATCCCTCTTAATGCTACTTTTTTCCGACGTCACTAGTGGAGTGACAAGAGTGTTGATTATCTACAAAGTGATATATTAATTTTTTTTTTCTAGGAGTGATATATTGACTTGACTGCTCTAGTTAATTGGTGAGGTCATTTCATTAACCCACGCTGGTTAATTGTACTTGTACGTTTGACACCTTCACGGGGTAGCTATGGTTCCGCCAACAATACCTTGACAAGAAATCACCAACAGAGAGATAAAGTAAGAAACATCAAGGGCAAGAGCAAAGTAGGGTAGAAATTTTACTAGTTTAGGCTTATGGGCTTAGAAGCCTTGTACCTAGCTGGCTAGCTCTACAAGTAGGGGAGGTATAAAATCCGTTTAAGCTATTGCATTTTGTTGTCTAATTAATAATGTACTTATACAGGTATAGAGTTTCAAATCTTTGTAGGTCTTCATTTGTATAATTTCTGTTTGGGTATGTTAAGAGGTGGTAAATGGGTGGGTTGGTTATGGGCTAGGTTAAATTGAGTTGGGTCAAAGTAAATCCAATTCATTTTTCACTTACGTATTAAATGGGTTATGATATGTTGAATTTATAAGGGGTTGGGTTAAACCCATTAACCCATAAAATAATTAAGACTCTTAATATGAATTCATACTAATATACCAAAAAAACGTACACACTAATATACCAAAAGATCCCCATTCGCTATAAATACACACACTAATACACCAAAACATACTAAATACAAAAAAAATACACACATTATGGGTCGGGTCAACCCATGGGTCATGGGTTGAGGTTAAGTCAACACGCGTGTTGGTCCATGGGTGGACCCGCAAATCATGGGTCGATCCACTCTCGACCCACGAGTCGTGGGCTGCTTTTTTTTTTTTTTTGTGTGTGTACTAATGTGTATTTTTCGGTGTATTAGTGTGTGCATATTTTTTTAATATATTTATTTGATTTATTACTTGTGTTTTGTAATAGAAAGATAAATACTCAGCGCAATGAGTATTTATTTGTAATTCATATTAATCTGCTTAATTAAAATAAATTATATTATTCAACTTATTTATTTATGGGCAAGTTGGGCGGATTAATATTTAATAGGTTAAGATTCACACCTCTAGGTATGTTGCATTAGGTAATAGGTTGAACTTTGGCTAGACTCTACATGCTACACATAGGGACTTGGGCCCAAACTATCTTGCTCCGTTGTCCTCCGTTAAATATAAGTGATTAAAACTGTGAAGATCTGATCAAGTTTAATTGTCAATCTGGCATTTGAAATTTGCATTGTTTAGGATGTCAATTGTGGCTTTTTGATTGCCTTTTTGAGCTGAGCTAACTTTCTGGTTTCTCCCATTTACCCATACAACCAAAGTGAAGTATATATTGGGTTCACGAGATGCTTTGGTGTGGATAAGTTTGGTTAGTTGATTTAGTACCCATAGGGGTTGTTTGTTTGTTGTATAATAGGGCGTATTAAAGAGTCATATTGAATTAAAACACTTTAAAATGGGTTTATACTGCATTTGGATACAAAAAAGCACTTTGTATTATGTACGAGATTAACTAGATAAGTATCACATACGAATAATTCTAATATAATTTATCTGTACTATTGAGCTATTTTAATACCACCAGGAACGGTAGTATTACAATATAGCCTAGGTGTATTATATCGTTATTTTACAATTTTATTCTCAATCTAAGAAAAATTCATGTGATCATTCCTTCTTGTTTATTATAATAAAAATTACATAAACAACAATATTAATAATAAACAAATGCATATATCCAAAATATACTTTTACACAATTAAAGCATGTTTGTTTAATTATAATATTATTTAAAAATATTCATAATAAGTAATATTTTTGTATTTTTTTATTCTATTGATATATAGTACTACGAAATATTAGATCACTATAAGGGATTAAATTGGAGATGATTGAGGGCATTTTAGTCCACTCATTTACTACCATTGAATAAATTATCTAACCAAATATTATATTGGATTTGATATTTATTATCCAACTCTTAATACTGTACTTAACAAACGCTTGACTAAAACTGTTATTATCTTTATCCCCTATTTAATGTTTAGATTTTATACATCTATCCTGGATTGTCTTGTATTCTCTAGTACAATTTCTTTTTTTTTTTAATTCGGCATCCATAGTGTTGTGTGAAAGATCTTGATAATTCCTAATTTCTTTTATAATTTATCTACCTCAGTCCAACTGAATGGAAGTCCTTAATTTCTTTTGTTGGATATATGGGTTGTGAGGAAGAGTGCATCGTGTCACATGAAACATTTTTTGTAAAATTCGGTACCTAATGCTGCTGCTGTTGGTCAATTTTGGTGTCGATCGAGATGCCTTCTGCTTGGAGTTGAAAGCATTTCAAAGCAGAACTTCAATGTAGGATATTATTGGTTATAAAAGAGGGACTCCTTTGTCATGGGGAATGAATTTGCTTTTGGGATGGTTGCCTTATGAATATAAGCACACAATACTATTCTGATTCGATAATTTAACAAGTACAAGGGTCCACTGGGGAGAGTTGGAGGCTTGACATGTCAATATTTAGTAATGATTGCTGCTTAGTTAAACAATGTTAACTGGTGGCTCTTTAGTGCGTATCCGAGATAGGAAAGGGAACATGGAACGTCACTTTTCCTGAAATGTTGGGATGATGGGGCATTGATTTCATCAAATTTTTTTGACCCCTTTCTCATATCACTGTTTGGTTTGTGGTCAAGAATAAAAATAGTTGATACATTATTTTCGAGAAATGGGACTTGCATTACAGTATATGAGTTGCTCTTATTCTTTTGCATGCTAAACTTCATTCATCAATTCTCATTAACCAGTTATGCTGATATGTGATATATTGTCCTATGTTGAGGCTAAATTCTCTCTTTCATTATATTAAGCCTTAAACAGGGTAATTATATTGAAGATAAGCCCACTTTGCCCTGCGTTCTCTCATAAAACCTGAATTTGTTCAACCTCCAACAAATTGGAAATGTTGTGTGGTTTCCTACAATCTTGGTTTTACCTGGAATGGTCTTGGCACCCTTAAGAACCAGGCAAATATCTGCTCACTACTTGAGACTGATGAGGAGCGTACCACTTTATGTGATGCAAGTAGCATATGCATTTTTATACATAACTTGATCTTTTACTTATTAATTCATCTGATTGCTTACTTGGAACAGTATTCCTGGTCGTTATGAAGCGTTCTGGAAGGAACTTGATTATGTCAAGCACTTGTGGAGAAACAGGCAGGAGCTGAAGACTGAAGATGTTGGCATTGCTGCCCTTTTCGGACTTGAATGTTATGCCTGGTTTTGTCTTGGAGAGATCATAGCTCGCGGATTTAAGATTACTGGCTACGATGTCTAGTGTTGCACCACGATTTTGTGTATTTAGTGGTAGAATTCTAAGGCAGACATCTCCTTTCTTAGTTGTTGAGTTGAATGATTGCACGGTATTTACTGAACTTATTTCTGTGAATAACTCGTTTGAGTAATGTCTTTGGAGCAAGTTTTTTTACTTCAAATCTTGCTATTTGTTTTCCTTCCCCCGTTTTCATTCCTTCTTCCACCAAACTCGTTATATATGCACTGTATAGTTAGTTTTACTAATCTGACAATTATTATTTTAGATAGAGAGAGAGAGAGGGAGAGAGAGGGAGAGAGAGAGAGTAGCCTTTTTCTGCCATTTCCTTTTTCTTCTAATCTTTTGCATCCATGAAATTGATTTCTAAACGCAACCACCTTCGGTCATGTAGTCATGTAAATTTTGGTTGTCAGAAAATGTTTATCCTCATGAGCTCTGGTGATTCTTCCTTACGGAGAAAAGTAGCAGTTTCTGACTCTCAAAACAACACCCTCCATCAACGTCACCCTGTTCCTACAACTCCTCAAATTCTTGGCATGTGGCAATAATCAAACAGATTTCCATATAGACCTGTGGTGGGGAGATGAAAACATTGGAAGGGGCTCCCAAGCAATAAAGACTACTCAAATCATACCCACAGTCGACAGCGAAGAGGGCAGACAAATGCGTGTGTGTGCGCGTGTATATACATATATCAAGGCACATATATTGCCAAAAAGTGTGCTCAAGTATATATATTCATGAGGGAGAACCCAGTTTTTCATTCTGACGCTTAAGAAGTACATCATGTGTCAAGAAACAGTTCACTATTCCAAACTATTCCCCAGTTACACAATAAACACCTCAACAACATCCTACCCCTCAGCCATCTCATTCCAGGATTTCAACTCCTATTCCCCGCAGCTATAGTAAGTATCTCAAGTGTAATTTCAATCTTCTCTCTTCTTCAAAATATATGATTTCTGAATGACAATATCATTTTGGGTGACAAGAGCAAAACAAATGCTAAGATCGAACCAAACAACATTTTAATGGCATATCCGAATGGATCATGTTCGGCTTCTTCAGATGTAGTCCTTGATGATGACATTGCCACTGCTGAAGGCAGGGCTTCAATCACTGCATTTGCCAGATCGGTGATGAATGAAGAGGTGCAATTTAGAGCAGGAACTCGGCCCCAGTTTTCAATGCCAGATTCCAGAGCCAAGTGCTTGTACTCCATATCAATCTCTTCAAGGGTCTCTATATGCTCACTCACAAAGCTGGAATTTCAAAGTACAAGAACAATCAATCACGGAAATATTAACTAACAACAAAAAAGAGAAACCGACAATATATAAAGAAAAAAAAAATCACCCAGTTTAAGAGGATATTGAATAGAGGCCATATAACGTGGAATTTTATTGTATTATGGGAGACTGAAAGTACTAGCACTTATTTTGCATGACTATTAATAACTTATTGCATACCTCACAGGAACAGCCAGGAGATTCTTCACACCTTTTTGGCCAAGCTCAACAAGAACTTCATCAGTGTAGGGCTTCAACCATTGTACAGGCCCCACTCGACTCTGACAGAAAGGGGGAAACATCAAATTGTAATCATTGGCCAATAAAATAGCCCTAGGTTATTTTTCTATTTTCAAGATTTTTCTTCTCCTTTCATGAGGAAGGGGGCAGAGTAATTGGGAGGGAGCTTCCAGTTAAGTGGAGCTTCCTAGATGGCACTCCATGCTAATGCCAATGACTATGGAAAGCTTGACAATTAATACTTAAAAACTGAATACTTAGATAAAAATTCAATACTTAGATATTATAACCAACCTGATAAGCTAGAGTATGATCATTTTTTATTCCTCTTGATTTCAATTCTTCCATTATCAAGTGAATGCACTCCTGCATCTGATCTCTGTATGGATCACCCGCATCCTCAACGTAACTGACTGGTACCCCATGGGCACTGAAGAATATCAAGGCCTATAACACAAGAAGGAAAACTAAGCAACACACTTAAGAACGGCAAACAAAATGCAAACTAAATAGACAGTCCATAAGCCATAATTCTGAAGATCTTCTATGTGTCAAAACTCTGTGAATTAATAAAAGAAAATAAACCCACCTCCTCAGGTTTAGAGAAAATCTTTAACTCCTTCTCAATCAAGTCAGCCATAGAATTGATATAACCTTCTCGTTGATACCAGGACTGTATAATGGAAACAGGTAGTCTTGCCAAATATGCATCTTCCCTAAAAGACAGCTCAAATTCAGATATGTTTATCAGAATGTAAAAACGAACAAGTACCACTTACTCTGCAACATGTTGATGATCCGAAGTTCACAAACTGAAAAAAAAAATCACCTGAAGATGCTCTGCAAAACACGGATGCTTGACCCAGTCGTAGAGATGGAATATTGCGGATAGAGAGGCAGCACTACAAGTTTTGTAACCCTGTCCCTTTTAATCTGTAACAGAAAATGGAGAAATTTCAACCGTTTTGAACCAAACAGTACAAATATGATGAAAATATGTATAGCACCAAACAATTGCTTGAGTGAAATTAGAAAGGTGAAGCCGTCAAGTCACCAAACTACCAATCAGAAAGGATTTGGATTATTCTCTTAGAAGGCAACTAATACTGTCAGTCTCAGATCTATGCAAAAATAAACAAATGTTTAAGTTTAAAAATGGAAAGAGGTGCATTTTAACAGGTATTCGGCATGTGAAGCATTTTGACCAGAAAAACACCCATAGAAAATGACTATGGTTCTGTTGGAAACACAGGTAGCAAAAACAAACAGCTCTTTGTTTCAACAAAATGGGTCGACAGACAAGTTTAGAGCTTTCTGCACATTCTAGATATCTGGAACCTTCCTAGAAGATTTTCAAATAATCATCCTTGGGCAAAATCGATATTCAGCCTTTTCATTTTTTCAGCAATCCTGCCATCAAGTTGGTTGCGATTGAAATTCTAATTCATGGACCTGACCTTGTAGTCATTTGTAAATAGAGGCGTCCAAAGGGAGGCACAAGTGAATCATAATGCAACTCAAGAGAACAGAAACAACAACCATCACCAAAATACTGGGAGACTAGTATTTATCACATTGCAGGTGAAAGTGAATTGCCAAAAAAATGATAACAGGAATGATACTTAGTTAGTATCTCAAACTTGCCTGCTTAACAGCTTCCTCAGTAAAGGGGTGCCAGTACCGCATGGCAACATAGACATTTGCAGGGACTTCCTTGGCTTCCAATGCCATTTTAAGTGCATTAGCCTGCAACACAAAGCTCAAAAATTGTTAACATGGTAGCTAACAATATGACATGCAAACCACACCAGATAAATAGACAAACCACTGAATAAAAGAACAGAAAGCCAAAATAAAAGAGAAAGCTAAGAACAACACCAACCAATCCTATGAGGAAAAACACCATCCTAACATGAACAGAAACAAGTATTTCTTAGGTGGGCAGTGTTTACCTGTTCATCCGTTATTTTTCGCAAAGGCGAACCACCTCCAATGGCAGCATACCCTTCCTTACTTTTGGGAGCCCGGAGTACAGAAATGAGTTGCGCCAATGGTTGTTGGAGGAATCTGAACAACCTAGGGAGACGTATGATATCCTGTCTCATAAAATATTAAATTCTTAGATACAACCATGAAACAAGAATCCTAATTATGATCATAATTTGATAAAGGGCATAAAGTGCCAAACTAATATACCGGATCTGCAAACAAGTTGAACAAAAATGGCTGAACATCATGAAGTGTTTCTGGTCCTCCAAGATTCAAAAGCAGCACTCCTATCTTTTCCTCTGAAGTGTGTGAATGAGATTCAACAGCACTCCCGGGGTATGTGCACACTTCTGCAGAGCAAAATGTTTTCCCAACTGGGTTTCTCTTCTGAACCGGAAAATCATGTGCTAATCCTCCAAGAACCCTACTTTCTTTATCGGTCGAGTAAAAACACGAAATAGATCCTTCACATGTAGCTATATCAAGAAATTGTTTTCCCCTGATGAACCACAGCAGGTAGGCATGGCCTGCCGTGTCTGAGGGCAGAAAACTGCCAGTGAAAATACTCAGTTAGAAGATTAATTTAAAAACAATGCTAACTACCTATGTTATGTACATACTAGTAGCATTATCTTGATAAAATTTTCATATTCTCTGGTGTGGCATGGGAAATTATCACAGTACATACCATAAAACATGATGAATGTTGCAAAAGAAGAACCACTCTCTGCCTTTTTTTTTCTTCTCCAGTCATAGGACAGGGGCTTAGGGTGGGAAAAGCAACAAATAAGAGCATTCCTTGATTTTTTTTTTTTAAAAAATCAACTCACCAAAGTGTGCCAATGGGGCACAACATGAACAGTCATTGAATTAAAACAAGTAATGCACAAAAGTCATTACAGAATGACACTTTTTCTAGTAAAGTGGAAGAACACAGAATGTGGTAAAAATCTCCTCTTTTTTCTCGTAGATTTGCTGTTCTTAACATGTGTACCCCGAGATTTTCTCTCTATTTGCCTACTCAACCTTTCAACTCTATAAAATATGTATAAGTGCAATTACCTAGAAACGTTTATTAATTATAAAGCCATAAACCTACAGGGTGGCCCAGTATGTGGGGCTCCCACCACTGCAAAGCTTGGAGGGTAATATGCAAGTAGCCTTCGCCCCGCATGCAGTAAGCTATTTCCGTAACTCGAACCCCTAATGCCCAAGTGACAATGGGAGCAACTTTACCGTACCAACCCTCTATAAAACCATAAACCTAATATCATACAAGTAAAGCACAAAACAGCTAGTACAAGCTAGCTCGTTTCAAATTTAAAAGAAGTGAATTTACTTACTCTTTTCAAGCATACCATTATGGTAAGTTGTGGAACTAGCTAAATGAAAACATAGTGATGAATAACCATTATATCAACATCTTCCTATTTTTTGTCAAACATTTTATCAAACATCAAATACCAAGAAATTTTAGCATTTATACTTTTTACATATCAGAGAGAAAAAGGAGAGAGAAAAAAAAAAGGACTTCGGAACTTCATTTTACAGAAGAGAAACTAACTTATCGAGACAAAACTCAACACATGAAATGAATTTTTTTTTTTTTAAGCAATTGCAA